TTGCCAAGAAGTGGTGAGAGATCCAAGGATCACAGAAGTTATTTTCTCCTCTTTCGTTTTTTAAGGTCAAGGTGGGATAGTCAACCACAAAGTATTGACTTTGGCACGGTTGTGCTGTGCACTACTGTATGTCTGATTACTGCATCAGTTTATCAAACATCAGATCTCTCCTTGCAAAATGTATAACACAAGGTTCTTATATTTCATATATTTTTAAATATGTGTATTCAAAATGGCAGAATTGAAAAAAAAACAGAATTTACTACAAACTGCAGAAATACTCCTGATACGTCATACCTCTTTTTCAGGTGCCCCAGAGACTGCATGTACTGTAATCAGAATCCTCCAAAGCAGAAAAGCACGAGAGGCTTTTTATACATTTCTGACCAGGACCATCATGGCTTATAACAAGACCTGGAGCACTGGACTCTCCTAGGCACCAGGGAGCTGTGACATTTTCAATGCACAGATTTGCAAGAGCGATCCTGGTGGCCCAACGCAGGAAGCTTGTCTTGGCTTCACTTCACTGTACTCTGGCTGGAGTTAATGGGGATCGAGAAAGGCAGACTGGAGCTTTGCACAACAGAAGAAAGTATCTGACTGCAGAAGGAAAGGAGGCAAGATTATTTCTGAGGGACTCCTGCATCCTGAGGAATACAAACATATATCTATTTCACTTATGTTTTTTTTTTTTACTGCTTTACCTCGCTGTGAGTTCTTACAGACTCCAGGGACTCCATCTGCCCAGGATCTATGATTCCAAACATTTGCACGCTCAGATGATGAACCCTGTTTCCGGGCCCACAATCTCCTCTTGTTCTGAACAAAAAAAGATAAAAGCTTCATAGGTTTTTCTCGTACTAACAGACCTTTTTTTTTAATTGGAGATGGAAGTGTCTGGGGGTGGAAAAGAGATTAAACAACAGCAACAAAAAATCTCTCTATTGTATGCTCTGTTTTTTTCTTAACATTCCAGTGTGTAATGACCTTTTTTTTTTGAATGCAGACTTGTATTTTTGCAATGTGTCCTGAAGTGTAAAGTGGATTTCGGATGTGGAATGCATGCAGAAAATCAGAGAACTTTATATCTAGGACCTAACACTGTTCATTATCTGAAGCAAGGAGGCCATAAGACATTTAAAAAAAAAGGAAAAAGGTTCTATAAGATTATAAATCAGATTGGAAGAAGGAGATGACACTGAATCTGGCCACACCATCCAAGACTTTCTGTATGGAAGGATGTTAAAGTGCAGTGTGGCTGGGTTGTCTTTTAGCCATTACAGAGCCATCCCAAAGCTCTGGGTTGTCAGCGTTTCGGACTTTTATTTCCTTTGTTACTTCTCGTGTTTGCCTGGTTTTCTTTCACGGAAAAGAAAGAAACAGCCTTAATCATTGCAGTTTTGTTTTTTATTTGCATACCTCACAGTCTTTTTTTAAAAAAACAAAATCCATACAATCTTGACAATTTATTTTGTTTGTACACTGTTTACTGTTTACTGTATGTACATATTTACAGATAAAACACAGGCTGTAATATTTATTTTTGCTTATGTTTTTTTTTTCTGTTTTGGTTACATCGTCTTATTGTTTTATCATCATTATTATTTATTTTTTAAAAAGCAATAGTGTGCAGAAGATAGTAAAGAGCACAATCTTGTGTTTTAAGTCTAGGGCCTGGAATGTTCACCTCCAATGTTTACTCTGAACTGTGCAATGTACTAATCTGTACTCAACAGGTACGCTCTGTGTGATGTCATTCCATGGTCTGTCTGGATGCACTGCAACACAAAAGAGAGGTACCAGATTAGACATGCAAATCTTTTTAGGATTAGCTCTTGTTCCTTTACATTATTAGTAGCCATCTTCCACAAGATTGTAGTAGGCATCCGCACTCTTTATGTTCTTAAAAGTCAGACTTTCCATTGGCCTAGAGAGAGCTATCATCTTGGAGTACCTAGTGCAGCAGCAGGGATTTTCTACTGGATATGCACCCCTCCCACTTCATTTCATCCCCACCACAGGACTTTGGTCAAGCGAAATATCGAAAGGAATCGATTTCGGAATTTAATCCAACAGATTTTCGCTCCAAGTAAGGGGCGCACAAAGTCCTGTGAGCAAAACATTCACACAGCTAGCTGAGATATCCAATTTCCATTCAAAATCTGGCCAAAGCAGAAGGATCCTAGAAGACTTTTTTTTTCTCTCTTATGCACACAATTGAGTCCAAATGCGAAGTCGGAGTTGAGCACAAACCGCAGTACTTACAGACTCCCAAAACATCTGATCTCGATTAGTTCAGGGAGGAAACAGAGACTAACCTGAAATTTCATTTGCTTGCTGGGACACGTTCAGTAAACCTCTCAGGTCAGTTTGCTCCTGCTGTTGTGTTGTAGATCCGCTGTTCCAGTTACCCTTGCTGCAGTTTCACGATCTGGGCATGCTGCAGCCGGTACCATCGCCACTGAGTATTTTATTTCTGTTCGTGTGCTTCCTTTCATCCAAAACGACAAGCAGACAAAGGGTGGTCAAAAGCAATTTCCATTTCCAACGTTCTATGCAATGATTCA